CAATATCTCTATTGCTCTGGATTATAGCAGACACACACATATACAATGACATGGATTAATAACATTTCTGCTATTCACAGCGGGCTTATCTCTAGCAAGTAAATGAATGTAGTCATCACAGCATGCAGCAACAGAAATATGAAAATCTGTTTCTCTAACTAGAAATGCAGTCTTAACCTGGGTGGCAGAGTAATTGAAGTCTACCAGGCAACTGAAAACAGGTCTTAGAGTTGGGGTTTAAAAAACTCACGTGTAATTCCTGCCACTTGTCAGCTATTCAGGCTTGGTGACGTCAGTCTTTGCTAGTTCTTCATCAAAATCCACTTTCTTAACTGGACTACAGTTCACAGCTTGACTTGTAGGTTTTTCATGGGATAGAGTTTTAGCCAATAAAATGTAAGTAGGAGAGATCCAGACCACTTCCAAGGTTGGCCAATAAAAATTTTCAGGCTCCACCTGTCCACCATATATGTTCCATGGTCACATTTTTCAAAATGGTAGATTCTTGCTCAGAAATTTGGTCCTAAATATGAGTGTGAAGCAGAGCCCCTTCTGATGGTGAACCACTTACCCCAGCATCAAAGGAATGCATTTCTTGTTCTCTAATCCACAAAATACTTAGAGCTTATTTGTTATAGAAATTTGACCTATGCTAACTTAGGGAACAGTAATACCTACTTCACAGATGAGATAACATATATAAATCCTTAGCACAGGGCTTGGCAATTTGTGTGTAAGCCAAAGTACCAGTTGTTACAGTTATAATTTGGATGAGAATCAAATCATAAATTATAAATCAATGTGAAACTAAAAACTAGAAAGTTATACAATATTGGATATTCCAGACCTCTGTCTCTTGGGTATTTTTAAGAACTCATGAAATCTTATTACTTCTAATGAAGCCTTTACTTTGGAAGTGAAATTAAGCTTTCCCCAACCACTTACACATCTCAGTTGTAACCTTTCACTATATGCACACACAATACACACACAGACACACAGACACACACACATGTACAACCCTCTTACATGGCATGTACTTGCATCTTTATATACTTTTAAATACTAATTAATGATTCATGGCATTCATTTTATACTTTTCAAAAAGCAAGTGTGTAACTTAGTGGAATGTATCATAACAATTCATATACCAGTGACTGATACAGGTATACCCTTATGAAAATACCATTAACAATGTCTGAACTCTAGAACCATAAATGAGATGGAAAATGATTTACTAAGTAAGATGAGAAATCACTCTGGTGCATATCTGTCCTAAAGAACTCTTACTCCAAGGTCTGAAATACAACCACAAATCTACAGGCAAGAGAGAAGTAAGGTAAGTATAATCACTGGTTCTTCTATTTACAAGGGGGGAAAACCCAACTCTTATAAAACTTCTGGCTTCCTAGGCCAGTGTTTCTTTTTAGCCTCTTTCTCATCTCAGAGCATTAATAATGCCCAGAATATGCCTGCCCATTACAACGACTAATGAGCACACTGGAGTTCACATACAGCTTGAACAAATTAGTCATCTGGATTTAAATGCCTCGGCTGATGATTGTACATCCATTATTACTGGGGTGCATCTGCATACCTTTTAACATTGAAAAGAATTGGGCTTTCCATATCAAATTATAGGTTTCATCTGTGGCTTTTAAGTACTGCACAAGTCAAGTTAGGTTAAAAACAAAACTGACCATAATAGAAAACATCCATGATAAATTTCCCAAGAATTTACTCCCCCACCCCCTTCTATTCTGACATTATTCCCTTTTTTAGGTAGGTGCAATGTGGTGTTACTTTTTATTTGAAAACTATGACAAGTCAGGCTACAGCCTGAATGGGTACATTTATAGTGTTACTGTTCAATATAAGCTAATTAAATTACACAGGTTATAAGGAAAGAATTAATATAATCCTTTCATAAAAGTTGTGATTAGGTAAATGTCTTCATATCTTAAAATTTGCAAAGTTATATGCTATCTTTTAAAACATGTGAAGACAGATCGTTCATTCATCCATTTACACAACAGGAGTTTTCAGGTTCCAACTGAGTGCCAGACACCATGCTGGATGCAGGGGATGCTAAAATGAGTAAGACCCAATTGGCCGCCCCCAAGGAACTCTATCTAGTGGCAGAGACAAACAGAAAACACAGTTCTGTATCATAGATTAATGGAATGAATAAAATACACTCTATCATTTAAACATTTAATTCAAACTTGACTTGCCCTTTGGCTGTAAGCATTATTTTAAATGATTTGAAAGGTTGTTTTTCTATTTTGTGGTCTCTTTAAAAATCTGATGAAAGATAAAATTTTACTTCCCAAATGTTCATAATTAAAAGCAAATGCACAGATAATTAAGTATACTATAAGAAATCCAACAGATATCACGGGGAAACAAGTTTCATCAAACCTGACATTTTTAAAACAATATTAGAATGCATCTGTCATTCATTCCTTCAAGTATGCATTAACTGGTTTCTAAGTGCTTACTAAGTAGATTGTAAACTACAAAATTCCTGATCTTCATTGTGCATGCTTCTAATCAAGATTCTGAGTGTGCCCAAGTGAATAAGCATGGCTCCTACCCACACAGAATTTACACTCTAATCTAAAACCAGATTTAATGTTATCTGTTCTTTAATGTTCTTAAGAGGAATTTAAACACTCCCTTAAGAAAATAGCAGCAGATCATAAAGCTCAAAGAGACTGTAACTCCAAACACTTTAAATATCTCGTCTTTTCACTTTCTTATGTACATACATGCATACATATACACATGCACACATGCAAAACTGCTGCCAATTGTTATAAATGAAACTTAAAAAAAAAAATCTTAGCCAAGGTTTTCAGAAGGCTGTTAGCCATGGCTGCAAAGCAGAGAGTCCCACATCCCTCACTAGCTGGATACCCACCCATATCCTAACCAAGAGCTTCCTAACTTCCACTCTGTTGCTTTACAAAATGTGATTTTATTATTGTTGTGAAAGGTTGTTAACCAGTTTTTCACTGCTTCTGTTTAACATTGTCATGTCTCTTCCTTATTTTGGAAATATTTATTTTTCTTCCAGTTTTATAGAGATTTAATTGAATTACAACACTGTGTAAGTTTAAGGTGCACAGCATAATGATGTGACTTACATACATTATGAAATGATTATCATAATAAGTTTAGTGAAAATTCATCATCATATAAATACAAAAATTTTTTAAATAGAAAATTTTCCCTTGTGATGAGAACTCTTAGGATTTACTCTGTTAACAGCTCTCACATATAACAGCAGTGCTCATTACATTTCTCATCTTGTACATTATATCCCTAGTGCTTACATACCTTATAACTGGGAGTTTGCACCTTTGACTGCCTTCAGCTAATACTCCTCCCACCTCTGGGAACCACACATCTAACCTCTTATTCTACAAGTTTGTTTTTGAACACCCAGTAGCATTTAAATTACAGTGACAATATTAACACCAAAGATTAGAAAAATCAGTAATAACATTTTGGATATGCCCAAATCTTTAACCATACCAACACTAGTTCTTTAAGCCTGATCCAAACAATGTATGATGGAGATGGATACGTTTGAGAACAAGGACAGTATCCCAGAATAATTTAGTGTGTGCTCAGTGGCTCAGTCTTGGGGACTCTTTGCGACCCTGTGGGCTGTAGCCCGCTAGGCTCCACTGTCCATGGGATTTCCCAGGCAAGAATACTGCAATGGGTTGCCATTTCCTCCTCCAGGGGACCCTCCCAACTCAGGGCAGGAACTAGTGCCTCCTGCATTGCAGGCGGATTCCTTTATCTCATGGTAAAAAAACAAAAACAAAAACAGGCAGCTGAATGAAGCCTATTGTAGTAAATTTCCATATGTATATTTCAGTGTCCAATGTATACTTTCTGTTGTTACAAAACAATACTGGTGCTGGAAAAAACGTGTTCTATAGAGTTCCACAGTAGTAAAAGTTGTTGAGATAAGAGCTACCCTATTTGTGTGTGTGCGTATATATATATATATATACACATATACTCTTACTAGGAAGAGCTTAAAGTTATGTTGTGAAGGAAACATTCTTACTGTGGCTGCTACTCTCTGATCAAGATTCAGAATCCTAAGGAAATGCTTGTTTTCCCCAAAATGTGACAGGAAGACTTCTCAACGCTACCGAAAAGTCAAGAAGGGGTTTGCAAAGGTGAAGACAAACCGGAGTCTTAAAGGAAAAACCTTCGGACGTGGAATTGGTCTATTTGGACCCGGCAGCTCAGGCCAGCGGCAGACTCGGGTGGGGGACCGCAATCCTCAGGTCACACCCATCAGCCCCACGTCTGGTCCGGCTTCTGACTCCTGCCGCCGGCCAGTGATCTCCAAGGCCGGTGGGGATGGGAGGTCCTTGGGAGGCACTTGCTCCGCGGGGCTGCTCGAGGCCTCGAGAGATTTCAGGAGCCCAGGGTAGGCGCGGAGCCCCGCGGGTTCCCCGCAGCAGCGACCTGTTTCCGCCGCTGGGAGCGGAGGGAGTAGAACCGGGCAGCCGGGGGAAGGAGGCCCCCGGGCGCGAGGCCTCGCTTTCGCGGCTTTGAAAACTTTCCAACGCGCGTGCCACGGCGACGCGCGGCGGCTGCGCCCGGGCCCCGGCGGCCCGCGCCTCCCGCGGGGAACTTTCGGGTGTTTCGGTGGCCTGTCACTCTCGCCGGCCGACGCGCCTCCCCCTGCGCTCGCGCGGCCGGAGCGCCCTCCCTCTCGGCGAGGACCTGCCCAGGCGCCGGCAGCTCCCGTGCCCGCTCGGCGCTCGCCCTGCCAGCGCCCCCGCCGCCCGGCTCCCCGAGCCTCGCGTTTCAACCTGGCCCGGCCGCGCCCCGCGCCCTGAGCGCCTCGAGCCCCCGGGCGGCCCCGGGAGCGGGGAGGCGGGGAACGGAGGAGGGGACCCGCCGCCGGGGGGTGTGGGGCGGGGGGCGGCGGGGCTGGCTGCTGGCTCCCGGCCGACTTTTCGCCAATGGTCCAGAGCGACATGTCCAAGTCGCCTCCCACAGCGGCGGCGGCGGTGGCGCAGGAGATCCAGATGGAGCTGCTGGAGAACGCGGCTCCCGCGGGGGCGCTCGGAGCGGCCGCACAGGTAGCGAGAGCGCCGCGCCCTCCCCTTCCTTTGTGAGGCGCCCGGGCGCCCGGGCTCCATCCCGCCCGCCGCCTGCTCTGCTGGGATCCCTCGCCCGGCCGTCCGCCCCGGCCTGGGTCTTCCCCGCCGCCGCCGCCTCCTTCCCTCGCGCTTTGCCACCCACTTCTCCCTCTCCGGGCGCCGGCGCCCCCCGCTCCTCTCCGCCTTCCCGCCCCCCCTCCCCACCCCGGCTTCCATTTTCCTCTGCTTCCCCAAAGCCAGTGGGAAGGGGGCGGGGGAGACCTCCAGGTCCTCGGAGGCTGCCCCCCGAGGCCAGCCCTCCTCGCCCCTTCCCGGGAGAGGCGCATGGACAGCCATGAATCAGGCGGGCGGACTGGACCTGCTCAAGATCGTGAGTCGGGGGTGGGGGGTGCGGGGGGTTCTACAACTCTGCTCCGACGCCGACCCTTTTAGACCAGCTCCGAGCCGGGGTGGGAGTAGGGGGCGTGTGATGGGGTGGGGGCGGGCAGGGGGGCGTGGGAGGGGGCGCTCTGCCCCTGCCTCCCCACCAGCAGCTGCGGCCCCCCTGGGCACCCGGGCGTTACACCTCTGGGACTGCTCGGCTCCCCTCCTGGCACTGGCCAGGTTTGCCTGGACCCCTCGCTGGCTGCAGAAGAGAGCGAGTTGGGGACGTGAAAGTTTTTCTTTTTCCCTTGGTCTTGAAATGTTAGCCATCTCAGAGAGCTCCGAGGCCACCTTCTGATGAGTATTAGCGGTTTCTGGGGAAATTCCGGGTTGCTGCTCGTTGTGAAATAGGAGATGTCAGTTGTAGGCACTGGGCAGTGATAAGGTGGCTTTTACGTAAGGCTTTGGCAGGTACAGTTTGGATTACAGACACCTCCGGTTCTCAGCGGTAAGGAGTCTCTCAACTTTTCTCCTAGCAGGGAAATATTTCAAGACTCCTAACTGTGGGCTGCTTGGCAAAGAGGTTAGGGTTTCATTTCAAGCATCACTTTGGAGAATATCTCTGCTTAGTGATGCTGGCTTGTTGATTTCAAACCTCCACTTGCTAGATTGTAAATTGTGGGAAGATTCTATAGTTTTATACTTATGTCAAATTTCTAAGTACGTAATTTGTGTACTTTATATTTGTATATGCTGGAGAGAATGCGTTAGTCTTATTTACTGTAGTAAGGGGGGCAGGAGTGGGCCACAGTAATAAAGTGTTTGGCTGCTTAATTGTTTTCATAGGTGATAGAAATTGACTGCTTTAGCTACTTTAATACTGTTAATAATGGTGGTTCTGGTGGCATGGTCATGGAGCTTTGTTGAACTTTCTTTTATCACTGGGAATTAAAAGTGCAGATTAAAACACACCATTCATTTTGATTTGAAATGCAGGAAAAATGTAGAAACCAATCATTTGTTTAATCAAAAATCCATGTCGATTGTAGAGGAATTCATTCTTTCTTAGAGGTAAGACAGCTAGATTTTAGTCAGCCTTGGGTTGTTAGGCTGCCAGAACTGAGTCGGGACATGTAACTAACAACCTACATTTCCATCTGGCCTTGCCAGTGGGCCTGAATTCTTACCAACACCTGTCACGTTTTTTTCTAGACTCCTGATTTTATCTAGATACTCAATAGGTTAGATGAGAGCAAGAAATGTACTCAGGGACTTCCTTTTTTTTGGGGGGATGAAGGTCTTAAATATTGATAGAGAAAAGGCCTTTTAGACCCTCTTTTCTCTTTGATCTCACTTCAGGGTTTTTTTTTTTTTTTCCAGTTTTTATTCTTATGATAAAAATAGAGTTCCTGAATTCCTGGAGATCAAAGTTAGGGCAAAATAGAAAGCATGACTGCATTCAGATAAGAGACACTAATTTATTCAGTGATTTATGTAGTTAAACGTAAGGCAACAAGTATTTGTGATGTTGCTGCAAACATGGAAATGATTCAGAAAGGAGAAGACACACTTTCTACTTTCATAGAATGTACATTCCAGTAGCTGCAAGGGTGATGAATGGATGACTGTTGTGTGGCATGGGGCTCTAAGAGAAATACCGAATCTTAGATGGTTGCTAAGGAAAAGATCACAGATACTCTGGAGTAATCTGTAAGGACTTCATGGAAGAGGTAGCATTTGAGAAGGGATTTGAAGTCTGGGTCAGACTTCAGCAGATTTTCAGAGAGATGCAGCAGAGCTCTTCGGGGAGCTATTCTGACTGCCAAGTAACAGCAGTTACGAGTCTTATACATTTGTAATCCCTACTTTGAAAATCGTGGACAGGTTCAGATTGGAGCTTAGTCAAGCAAAAGTCTGACAAGGCAATTGAGGCCACATCTTGAAGGCTTTGGAACCTGAAATGTAATGAACAACAAAAAGCCTTGGAAGGGGTTAGGGAAGGAGCAGTGTAACAGCTCATGGAGAAGATTCACCTGGGAGCATGCTGGAAGGGAGTCGGGAGTCTCAGGAGTCCAGAGTAGAGCTGCTGGAGGGGAGATTGATGTAACGGTTTGGACAAGAGGTAATGAGGTCTAAACCGAAAAGGGAGAAGAGATAATAGATAGGACAGTACTACGGATGGACACAGTCCAGAGACCCAGTCCATAGGCATTACAAGTGATTGAATGAGGGAGGCGGGGAGGAATGGATAACAGAGGCAGGTAAGAGGCATAAACATTCAGCTGCATCAGCATCCTTCTCCTTGCTCCACCTTCCAAAAATGAAAGCATTTTCCCCTGAATTGTGTTCAGATCACAGCCTTTATCTGAGGGAAACATTGCCTTGTTTATTTGATATCTAATAAATCATGTCATCACAGGGCTGTGAAAACTTGGCAAGGCATCTCTTCCATGTCTCCAGGAAGGCTAGGCCAGCAGTAAACCACCTGGGGGGAAAAGACTGTCTCTGGAGCATCCCTCTGTTTGTGCCACTGAGTCACCATAATTCCCCCGAGAAATGGAGTTTTCGTTTGTGACATATCTCTCTCAGCAGTCATTGACCTGAAGGATCCTTTCTCTTTCACTTCTGGGTTATACTGCACATTCTATATGAACAAAGCAAAAGATGGAACTCCACAGACTTCCCATTGATCTTTTTTCCTGTTAGAAATCCTGCCGAGGGAGGGGGCACCCTCCTACTCTCTAACCCTAGGATATGGTCATAAACAAAATAGATCTATTTGTTACATGAGAAGCAAGTGACAGTCTAACTGAAAATTCTTGAGAGTTCAGATTTAAGCACATCACATCCCTATTAAGGTAACCTGTTGAACAATCTCAGTGCAAACTTGGACACAGTCTGCCTCCAAAGTCAAGTTGCTGACCAAACGCTCTCCCTCCAAAACTCCAAGTCTGTGCCATCTACCACGGTAGCCACTAGTCACATGTGACTTCCGAGCACTTGAAATGTGACTGGTTTGAACTGAGATGTGCTGTACGTGTAAAATACACATTTTAAAATACACATTTTAAAATACATCAAAATATAGATCAAATAAGTAGTCAGGTACAAATAAATGCAGATAACTTAAAAATACAAAATACATGTGATATATATGTATATTTAGGTATACTTAGAGGAGGAGGGCATGGCAACCCACTCCACTATTCTTGCCTGGGAAATCCCATGGACAGAGGAGCCTGGTCTTCTACACTGCATAGTGTCACAAAGAATAAGACACAGCTGAAGCGACTTAGCATGCACTCACATGTATACTTATGGCTGATTCACCTATGGCAGAAACCAGCGCAATGTTGTAAAGCAATTATCCTCCAATTGTGTGTGTACTCAGTCACTCAGTTATGTCAGACTCTTTTGTGACTCCATGGACTGTAGCCTGCCAAGCTCCTCTGTCTGTGGAATTTTCTAGGTGGGAACACAGGAGCAAGTTGCCATTTCCTTCTCCAGGGGATCTTCCAGACCCAGGGATGGAACCCATGTCTTCTGCATTGCAGGTGGATTGAGCCATTGGGGAAGCCACCCTCCAATTAAAAATGAATTAAAAAATAAACAAATATATACAGATGAAGAAATCTCAAGGATATTATCTCAATGAAAGTCAATTTCATTCAATTCAATAAACATTTAATAAGTAAAAAATACATAAAATACAGAGGAGACCTGTATTTTGCAGGAGACCCCTGTTTGATTCCTGGGTCTGGAAGATCCTCTGGAGAAGGAATAGACTACCCATTCCAGTGTTTTTGGGCTTCCCTGGTGAGTCAGCTGGTAAAGAATCCACCTGTGATGCAGGAGACCTGGGTTTGATACCTGGATTGGGACGATCCCCTGGAGAAGGGAACAGCTACCCAGTCCAGTATTCTGGCCTGGAGAATTCCATGGACTTTACAGTCCATGGGGTCACAAAGAGTTGGACACGATTGAGCGACCAAGCACAGCACAGCACAATGTATCAAAAATACGATCACAGGGACGTGAAAGTGACAGTTGCTCAGTCCTGTCTGACTCTTTGCGACCCAATGGACTGCAGCCCACCAGCCTCCTCTGTCCATGGGGATTCTCCAGGCAAAAATACTGGAGTGGGTTGCATTTCCTCTTCCAGGGGATCTTTTGAACCCAGGTCTCCCACACTGTGGGCGAATTCTTTACCATCTGGGCCACATGGATGCCCTTTGATACTTTTAGCCAGATACATTATTACAATGCACTTGGTCTGCTGCCTTTTACCATTTTAATAGAGCTACTAGAAGATTCCTATTACGTAGGTGACTTTTATTTCTATTGGACAGCATTAGTCTAAAAGCACAGCACTGGGAATTCTCCAGGGAGTTGAACAGATCTGGATGGAGGCCGGCTGGATGCAAACTCAGGGTGAAAGGAACGGAGACTAGGGTGCAGCAGAGGAGGAAATGGGTGAAGCAAGAGCAGATCTCAGCTCTTTAGGCCTCAAAGAGCTGGTAACCAGCACCTCCAATTGCACCTGGAGATGCACCAACAGTTAGCAGAGGGCCTGTTTGTTTTGCTCCTGGCAACGAAACCCGGCTGGCTCCACCCCA